AATTGAGTCACTCGAAGAATTATAGAAAATAAGAACCATGGAAAGGAGGTCCCACAAATGTTATTAAGAAAGATTTATAAGAGAGAGTACAATTGAATGAAAAGCGGTCCCCATCAAGTTTGACGTGGCTTTTGTTGAAGTATTTATTAGATTAGTTGTATCTTGTTGAGCATTTATGAGATTAGTTGTATCTAACTATAGACCTAATTCCTAGAATGCATCTGTTTATCTTCTATAGGTTTAATCATTTTTCTCTATTAATTGTATCTCAGAATCTGTATCTTTATCTTCTATAAATAAGAAAACACAAGAGAATGATTTCAAGTTCTCAAAAACAGTTCTTTATTTTCTTATTATCTATTTCAAGTTGGTATCAGAGCGGGTTCATCCTGCTCTGCCTGTCTCTTCTTGTTTCTTCAGCGTTAATCGCTGCTCGCCGCCGTCTGCCGCGGTGCCTCAAGGAGCGCGACCCAACCCCAATGGTCACTTCCTCCGTCTCTTCCTCACGCGTCGCCTTTGTCTACAGCTTCCTCCACGCGTGAGCTTCATGCACCGCCCTCTCGGTGGTTGTTTTGCTCTAGACCACCACCATCTGGCTCGTCTCGTCGCCCTGGAGCCAGATCTACCCTTTGTTTCGTATTCACTATCACAAAACGTTGGTTGTTATGCGTTCTTCTCTCTGCCTCTCTCTATTTCCATATACAAGTCTTCTCTCTATCACTCTCGGTCTTCTCTCTACTTCCATATACAACACAGAGTTTTGCAGGTCGTCTCTTGTTTCCTGAAAAATGTCAGGACCTGCGTCTGTATTTTTTTCTGGGACTCCTACTATAACCACAGAATAATTAAATGGGAAAAATTACTTGTCTTGTGCCTCCTCTGTTGAGCTCTGGTTTCTAGGACAAGGGATTCATGATCATCTAGAAGAAGACGAAAGTACAAAACCAGCAAATCAGGCTCCTCAATGGAAGAAACTGGATTATCAACTTTGTGCACTATTATGGCAATCTGTTGAACCAAATATTTTGAGCACTCTTCGATCCTTCAAGACATGTAATTCCTTTTGGAAAAAGACCCAAAATATTTTTGCTAATGATATTCAACGACTCTATGATTCTGCTAATAGACTAGCCTCAACAAGAGGATAATACCATGATGTCCTTTGTTGCTGAAGCTTAATCAACAGTTGAAGAATTAAAAATGTTCCTAGAGGCAGAGTCATTAGAGGAAAGAAAGATGAAGCTGGATAAATTCTATATGGTAATGATTTTTAGGGCTATGAATCTAGAATTTATTCATGTTAGAGACCAGATTCTAACTGGTGAAGAAGTTCCTTCTATGGAGAGTTTAATCACAAAGCTACTTCGTATTCCATCTAGCAAAAGCAAAAACATTGAGGAACTTGTTGAATCTTCCACCATGATTTTTGCTCGTGGAAGAGGTAATCATGACAATAGAGGACGTGGTGGTAAAGGACGTCCTCAGTGCTCTCATTGCAAAAGAATGAGACATACTAAGGAAAATTGTGTTGCTCTGCACGACTTTCCTGATAAGACAATCAATACCTCAAAATCTAAAGTTGATGAGCTTAAAGTTTCTCATGAAGAGTATCAAGAATATTTAAGGATGAAATCAACCAATCTGGCTCAAGCATCTACAACACCAAATTCGTCAACTGCTTGCATTTCGCAATCTGTGGAAAGTCAAAATCTGTAGATTATTGACTCAAGTGCTTCTAACCACATGTTTGGTAATACCTCTTTATTCTCCTCTCTTTCATTTCCTAAAACCTCCCATCTCATATCTTTAGCCAATGGATCTAAAGTAGCCTCTAAAGGAATTGGTCAAGTATCCATCTCTCCTTCTTTAAACCTTCAAAATGTTCTTTGTGTTCCTTCTTTTCCATTCAGTCTTGTTTCTATAAGCCAATTAACCAAATCATTGAATTTCTCAGTAACCTTTAATGTCAATTATTTTGTTATCCAGGAACGTGGTACGGGTCGACTGATTGGAGAAGGACATGAATTTGGAGGCTTATACTACCTTAGGACTAATTCATCTGTATCTTGTGTTGCATCCTTACCCTCAAAATTGTTACATGAGCAATTAGGGCATCCTCATTTGGAAAAGTGATCAAAGTTTTACAGAGTGATAATGCCAAAGAGTACTTTTCTAATGATTTCTCTAATGTCCTAAATTCTCAAGGCATTTTACACCAGTCCACATGTCCTCACACACCACAGCAAAATGGTATAGCAGAACGAAAAAATAGACATTTGGTTGAAACTGTTCATACCTTATTAATCATTGGGAAAATATTATTCTAACTGCATGTTTTCTCATTAATAGAATGTCATCTTCTTCTCTTGACAATAAAGTTCCACACTATTCTATTTCCAAAGGAACCAATTTTTCATGTTTCTCCTAGGGTATTTTGATGTATATGTTTTGTTCATGATATGTCTCCTGGCTTAGATAAACTCTCAGCTTAAGCTATCAAATGTGTCTTCTTGGGATATTCTCATCTTCAAAAAGAATATCGGTGTTATTCTCCTGAAACCAAGAGGTACTACATGTCTGCTAATATCACTTTTTTTGAATCATCCTCCTTCTTCCCTTATTCTATGCAGAATATTGATTATGTCCAACATGTTTTTCCTACCCTCTTAGTTGAATCATTTGTACCTCCTATTTCTCACACCCCAAATCCCAATCCAAATACTCTAGAATATTATCACAGCCTATCATCACCTATCAATGCAGGAACCAGGTGAACAATCCCATTCCCCAAGATGAGCCATCCATAATAGGTCCTTCTCAATCATCTTCTAATACCACGGCTCCTGATAACGATGACTCCAGTTGGTTCATTGTCATTCGCAAAAGTACTCGTTCTACTCGTAATCCTCATCCCATTTACAATTTTCTTAGGTATCATAGATTGTCTCCTTCCTATTGTTCTTTTATTTCCTTTGTATCCTCTATTATGATCCCAAAAATGTGGCTGCAGCACTTGATCATCCTGGATGGCGACAAGCCATGATTTCTTAAATGCAAGCTCTTGATCATAGCAAAACATGGGAGCTGCTTCCTCTCCCTTCGGGAAAGAAAACAGTTGGTTGTCGTTGGATCTATGCTATTAAAGTTGGGCCCAATGGTCAGGTTGATCGTCTCAAAGCCAGGTTAGTGACTAAAGGGTACTCTCAGATATATGGACTTGATTATTGTGATACATTTTCTCCTATAGCCAAAATGACCACTGTCCGCCTGTTCCTTGCCATGGCTGTCATTCGTCATTGGCTTCTTCATCAATTGGATATTAAAAATGTTTTTTTGCACGGTGACTTAGAAGAAGAAGTTTACATGGAGCAACCTCCTGGATTTGTTGCTCAGGGGGAGTCTAGTTTGGTTTGTAAATTACGTTGATCTCTCTATGGCCTAAAACAGTCTCCCCGTGCTTGGTTTGAAAAACTCAGCTCTATTGTTCAAGCTTTTGGATTAAAACGCAAAGAAGCAGATCATTCAGTATTTTATTGTCACACTACCCCTAGCAAACATGTTTATTTAATTGTGTACGTTGATGATATTGTCATCACAGGGAATGATGCTGCTAGAATATCTCAGCTAAAAGAGCACTTTTGTAGTCATTTTCAGACCAAGGATCTCTTGGAAATCTAAAATATTTCTTGGGTATTAAAGTAGCTCAATCAAGAGAAAATGTTGTCATCTCTCAAAGGAAGTATGTTCTAGATATTCTAAAAGAAACAGGTATGATTGATTGCAAACCTGTGGACAGTCCTATGGATCCAAATTTGAAGTTAATGGCAGGACAAGGTGAAGTTTTCTTTGACCCAAAAAGATATAAAAGACTGGTCGGGAAACTTATTTATTTGACTATTACTAGACCTGATTTGTCTTTTGCAGTTGGTGTTGTCAGCCAATTTATGCAAGCCTCTTGTGTGGATCATTAGAATGCTATCATTCGAATCCTAAGATACATTAAAAGAGCTCCAGGACAAGGTTTGTTATATGAAGATAAGGGAAATACCCAAATTTTTGGGTACTGTGATGCTGACTGGGCTGGATCTCCTATGGATAGGCGTTCCACCAGATGCTATTGTTTTTTCTTTGGAAGTAATATCATTTCATGGAAAAGCAAAAAGCAAAATGTTGTTACCCGATCCTCTGCCGAAGCTGAATATAGGGCAATGGCGTCTCTCACTTGTGAACTTGTATGGGTAAAACAATTCTTGCAGGAACTGAACTTTTGTGAGATTCAATATATGAAGATGTATTGTGATAATTAAGCTGCTCTCCACATTGCTTCCAACCCAGTATTTCATGAGAGGACTAAGCATATTGAGATTGGCTGTCACTTTATTCGGGAGAAGTTGTTAACTAAAGAAATTTGTACTGAGTTTGTTGGTTCCAATGATCAGCTTGCAGATGCATTAACAAAATCTTTGAGAGGACCTCGAATGAAATTCATTTGTTCCAAACTTGGTACATTCAATTTGTATGCTCCAGTATTGAGGGAGAGTGTTGAAGTATTTATTAGATTAGTTGTATCTTGTTGAGCATTTATGAGATTAGTTGTATCTAACTATAGACCTAGTTCCTAGAATGCATTTGTTTATCTTCTCTAGGTTTAATCATTTCTCTCTATTAATTGTATCTCAGAATCTGTATCTTTATCTTCTATAAATAAGAGAACACAAGAGAATGATTTCAAACTCTCAAAACAGTTCTTTATTTTCCTATTATCTATTTCAAGTGTCTTCTTTAATAGGTATCTAACCAACTGTCAGCCTAACCGCTTAACAGCTGTTGTTGTTTTTATTATAACAGAAAGCACTCAACTAGTACCAATGGTGGGAGTCGCGGGTTCCCGCGCCTTCTTGGCCTGCGTTCTGACATGCACTGTTTGGGCATTTCCATTCATCGTCCTCAGAATCCATACGAGGCTTTAATGGGGTTAAAACATAGAGAAACTGACTTAACTAATTGCCCTTGAGACAACTGAGTAACTGCTCTTCCAATACAACATACACAATAAACATTACCTAAGAAAAGCATGACTGGATTGGTATATGGTAGAATGTACAGATCAGGTAAGTTAACCTTGTACAGTTGGAGAACGAGAAAAATATTATGTGCAACGCTAGAGTTGATATCAACAAGTACCTCAGATATATATATTGGAACAAGAACTGTATTCACACCTATACCGAGACCAACAAGAAATCTTCCTCCAATTATCTCATTCAAGGAGTGAGCATGTGCACTGTCAAAAATTGGAACAGGTAAGTTAACAATATGACTTTAGCAAAGGACCCATAATTTCATATAAAAAAACTTGCAATCTGTTGGCAATATGCATTGATGATCAAAATATTGGAAAAGCCAATAAAGTTATAAGCATAAATCATTTATATATACGAAATCATATTTTAGAAAAAACAGCTAAAAATAGAAGCTATTAATGCTATATAGTATAGAAACTTTACACAGTAGAGGTTTTTCAACACAAGAGAATCAAGTTAAGATATTTCAGTTAGGTCAAGAAAGTTAAATTATGAGAAACATGCTTCAAACTGAACAATCATTGACCATAAATGCCAATAGATAAATAGTGAAAAAATGTTAACTTATCTAGAGAAAATGCAAGCTTTCTTTTGCTATTTTACTCTGTAATCCAGGGCAAAAGGCTGTTGAAAAAAAATATATTATATTGAGAATCAGTGAGAAAAGACAACATGAGAAATGGAGGGATAAAAAGAAGCAGTGTTCTAATTTCAACTCAATATTTTAGATTTGGAACAAAGCTTGTGTCACGCATGTCATAAATTCCAATCCTTCTCCATTTACGTTAGCTCAAGAAAGTTTAATCATGAGAAACTTTAGGTATGCATAAGGCCAACAACTATAATACGGCGGCTGTAAAACTATGAAGTCTACCACTTTCAGATAGATGAATGAAAAACCAAGATTTAAGAGTTCTATTTGGTGAAATCTATTAAAAGCTGTTAAAATTTAGTATGAAATTGAAAAAAAAAAAAAAGAAAGAGCTTGATTTGGTATCTAACATGCCAAAATATTTATTATATATTATAATCTTAAAAGTAAATAAAGGAGAAAATATGTCTTAAAATCTTAAAAGTAAATAAAGGAGGAAGCATATTATAGTTGATTGTCACTCTGTTAGAGAAAGTCATGTTCCAAGAAATACAGTTTTCCATGATCAATTAATATATATATATATATATATATATATATATATATATATATATATATATATATATATATATATATATATATTTACTAAATCACTAAAGGGTTCTTGGATAAAGTACATATGTAGCTTGGTGCATATAACCTATGTGCTCCAACTTGAAAAGTGTTAAAATTCTTTAGATAGGTTAGAATCTTATAGATGTGATATTAATTAAGATCAAATGATGATATTAGATCAATTAGATTGATTCTATATTTATGATATTAGCGTAAAATAGGGAAAGAAAATATTTTCTAACTATCTTGTAATTATGATCTCTTTCCTATAAATTGAGTAGTTTCATTGTGCTCTAAATACACAAAACTCATCATTGACCTTTTCGGTTTTTCTCTTCTCAACATGCTCAAATTAACTTATTTTGGGGACCCAAGCTCGTAATTAAAAGCTAGCTTTTGAAAAATAAGATGAAAAATGCAATTATTTTCCTACAAAACTAGCCCTTACTAAACATGCATAGTATAACTTTTGATTACTAGTAAAACACACATTGAGAAAATAGTTGAAATCTTATTAAATTAGAGTCGTTACTATAAGAAACATAGGACATTCTATGTAAAAAATACTATTGATCTTAAAACCATGCAAATAATTAATTAGTTTCGAAAATCATATTATAAGAAGCTTTTGTTGTCTAGAAACTTGACTATATAGAGTGTTAACCAATTAAGAGGCTTCATTGTCAAAATCTTTATATAAAAGCAAGACAATGTCCCAGATCCACAAAAAAAAAGGGATGAATTAACCATGTACACTACCTTATTATTGCCCCAAGGATTAAGGGTATGCTATCAATCTGAAATGTGAGCCGACAACCAAGTTTATCTACCAACGAACCAGAGCATATGCTCCCAATAAATGCACCAGAAATAAATATACTGACAACAAGTCCCTCAATGAAAGAGTTTCCTTCAAAACCAAGCTCCCGAGCAATGGAAACAATAGGACCATTCATTACTCTGCAAAATACGCAATCAAGTTTGAAATGATTCAAACTTCACAAGAAGCTAGAAACTCAAACACCATATAGTTATAAAAATTCATCATGCTATCCTCAGCTTATCACGTAAAAGAATAGCAGATACTTGGCTACAGCATAATATGTGTCAACATTAACCATCTATTCTTGCTTTCAGAGATGGAATACCATCCTGGCTTTTAGTCTCACAATAAAACTCAACCAACTTTACTGAATTTCAACTATAACTGTTGAACTATTTAGTTCTAATCCACTTTCAACGTAAAATTGTGTTCATCACAACTTAATCTACAGTCATTATTCCATTATCGGATGCCCCCACAATTACAACTATAATTTCAAACTTTGTTCAATGATTTTGGGGGCCACGTAACATATACAATTAGATATATTTATGAGAAAAAAATTAAACGGGGGAGAAAAATTAAATATTTATGATAAAAAAATTAGATGTGAAATAAAAATATACAAGTATATATATTTAATGATTATTAAATTTAGATAAAAAAAAAAATAAGGTAGGCTTAATCCCCTGCAGCCCAAGAATTTCACCAGTACATCTATGAAACTCTTTAATGGTCTGTTTGGATGGGATGGGAAACCATAAAATAAAATTGAAATTTGAACAAGTCAAAAGTGAAAGGAAAGGAAAATTTGAATTATAGTTTCAAAATATTTTTTATCTTCTTTTTTTCTTCTGATTTCTCCCAAGCAATGGAAATAAAATGCTTTATAATTCATTTTTTATTTTCTTTTATCCTATCCAAACACACCATAATGATTCATTACCATCAATCACTCTGAGGAATGTGATAGAAAGAATAATATAAGACCTGTTTACGTAAACTGCTACATTATTTATTTGAGTCCTGATATTTTAACATCAGACAAAAGGAATGATTAAAGAAATTGATTTAAAATAATATTAATTAAAAATTATTATTTTATTAATAAATGAAGTTATTGAATGGAGATTTGTTAATCTGTTTTTTTCATATTTGTTTTAACCATATCATTGGTTCGGTGTATCCTCGTGCTTTGAACATGAATAATTTTCATCAGAACCTTGTTAACCATCTTTAGTGTGGTCTCCGCTCTCAACTACCTTTTCTTTCCATCACAAGGTTCAAACCCGAGACCTTAAACTGATTTCATTTTTAAATATTAAACAAGTTAAACACATATTATTTAATTTATTTTTCTTTTGACATAAGACGCTCATTCCATTTCGGTATGAATAATTTGTTAGATACAATATCGTATGTAATAAAAAACTTTGAGACTTAGTATTAAATTAAGCCGCTCTAACAAGACAATGGGCTGCACAGTTAGCTTGTATCTTGACAAGTCTTATCTCAAAGTTTGAAAAGACTAAGGTTGTGTACGCAAGTATTTATCAATCATCCTAGCTCAGAATGTGAGGTGAAGTTGCAGTACGGCGGTACTTAAACGAAAAACTAAACGAGAGAGAAATAGAAAGAGAAACTGACCCAATGTGATACCCAAATATAAAATTGGACATTGAAGCAACAAGAACGTGGGGAAAAACAGGCAACCATCCCAAATCCAAATTTGCATCGTTTTGACGCAACAGGAGTTTCTCTGATCCTTCGTCATCGGCAACGTTGCGAGTCTGAGGCGACTCGGGGATTTCGTTTTTGAGGGCTGAAACTCTGAGCTTATTAGAACGGTGGCGAAAGGAGCAGATGAGACTGTGAGATTTGGGTTTGGTTTTGGCTCTGTAGAAGGAAAAGATTTTGGGAACTGGGTACTGATTTGAGCCAATCGCTGCTGAAACCAAATGAAGGGAAATCATCCTTCAAAACTGAAAAAATAAAATAAAATAAAAATAAATTGAAAATAAACAATCATCCTTACATTTCTTTGTTAATAATGGATGTTATTGGATAACGTTGACTGTCTATATATTTTTATTTATTTTTTTACGGAGTCGATCAGATTCTTTATTTTTCATATTATTAATTTTTTAAAATAATTATTTTTCTTTTAATTATTTTAATATATATCATATATTTTTTTCATTTTTTCTTTCATCAGTGAGATACGGATTTTTTTTTTATTATTATTCCCACATTTTTTTTAAACATAAATAATTTTTAAAATTATTTTATTCTCTTCACTATCTTATATATTCTATTCATTATATATAATATTTTTTCTTTTCAATAATACCAAAACGATTGAAAAAAATTATATATGTTAGTAAAAATACAATGTTATTTGTATCCATATTTTTTATATTATTATTTTTCTTTTAATTCTATTTTTTATTTTTTTAATAAATTTCACATTTTTATCCCTATTTTTACACGTGTTATATCATTCTATTTTTTATTATTTTTACTTTTTTTTTTCTTTATTCAAATGCATAAAAAAAAATTCACTATTTTTACTATCTATATTCTTTATTCATGATATTTTTTCCATTTCAATAACACTTCTATTTATAAAAAGAAGTATCATATCACTTATCTAAATAATTGTCGTCGGTAGAAATCGAACTCACATACTCCAACCACTAAGATAATAGGATTTACTTAGGATTTGCTAATAATAATTTATAAATAAAGTATATTTATATACAAATGAATGTATATCCATGTAAATATAAAATATATAATTACAAGTATATTTATATATTTTGATATATTTATATATTTATATGTTGGATGTGAGGGTGCGCTCAAAGGTGAAAGTGTGTGTCGAGTGAGTTTTCAAAATTTAATGATAGAATATAATCTTTATAATTTATTTATATAATGATATAAAATATTTTTTTTCTTTATTTATTTTTATTTTATTTTAATTTATTCTTTTTATCTTTTTTTCTTCTATTATTTAATTAAAAATCTTATATTAAAATAACTTTTTCAATATTAAAAATACTTAAATATTTATTTTTAAAATAATTTAATTTAACAAATTATTATAAATTAATCTAATTATGATTAAGGATGCAACTATTCCAACTTGGACGATGGAGGTCGATTCGTTGTAGTTTGATTCGCAGAGTGAGGGACGCAAGGATGGGTGAAGGGGAAATGGAGGTTAGGGATTCGATTGGGAAAGGAGATTGGAGGGGCGGTGGTTCTCACGACTGCGATGGGGGCAAGGGAGTAGGCGAAGAAGGTTTTGGTGAGGGGATAGCTGGAAGTGGCGAAGCTGGGTTCCGATGGTTGAGCTAGGCATAACTGGCTTGCGGTGGGCGATTGATGTGGTGCAGTGAAGGGGCAGGAGAATGGATTTGGAGGTTGGGTTTTGGTAATGGCTGGAAATGAGGAGCAAGGGAAGAATGAGTGAAAATGGAAGTTCCAGGGGGAGGAGAGCCTGTAAGGGACACAGATGTAGAAAGTCGGTCTAAAATTTTTATTAATCATTTTTTTAAAATAAAAACACTTTATACATCGATTCATCTCGAGAACCAATGTAGAAAGTACTTTCTACATCGGCTCCCAACTAAACCGATGTGGAAAGTCTTAAAAAAATTTCAAAATTGTCATTGCGTCACTTTTTACATTGGTTCTTTAAGAACTAATGTAGAAAGTCCGATGTAAAAAGTAGATTTTGTACTAGTGATAAGAGGAAGGGAAAACCCTAAACCCTAAGAAGAAATAATTCATTTTAAATCCTTCAAAAGATAAATGACAATGCATATAAATTATCTCTCAATTGAGTATAAACTCAACCATATTTTTAATATTTATGATTTATCTGCTTTTGAAGGAAGTCCTAATGGTTGATCTAGAAATAAAGACAAATCTTTTTTAAGAGGGATTATCACATGGAGGACCTTATAACACATTGTTCCCTTGACAAGGTTTATTGCTAGGAAGATTGAAGAAGAAGAGCCTCAAAGAATAATTTTTTTTTACTTTGGAGTATAAATTATTAGAAAATTTATTCTTTCTTCTCATCATTGTACAAGTATATATTTTTCTTGTATTCTTGTAGACTTTTGTAGAAACACATGTAACATATTGAGTCTTGTTTTGGACCAACTTATGGAGAAAATCAAAAGAAATTTCACTAAGTCACCGTGAAAGTGTCCAAGAAACATGAAGTCCTACATCACTTTTGAGAAGTCAAAAATAGACTATTTTAAATGACTTAAAAAATTAATTTATCTACTTTATGCTTCTTAAAAAAGGTTAGATTTATAAATAAAACAATTTATCTCTTGTAACACCTCTATTTAATTAAATGAAAAATATTTTTTTAATTCTTTATCAAAAATCCTTCATTAAAAATAATAATATCGAGATGATCTTATATATAAAATATTATTTTAATAAAGTAAATTTTTCAAAAATTATTAACCTTTAAATTAATTTATATCACTTTGTCAATACTCAATTTCGTCTAGATAATTAAAATAATATATATATATATATATATAATAAAATATAAAAGTTATATAAATATAATATAATAAAAATTAATAAAAATATTTTAAAAATATCTTTCTCAATAATCCACTCTTCTCTTCCCCAATAGTCATACCCCATGTTCTCTAGATATTCTCCTTTTTTTCTTGAATCTTTTTAGGTCCACTATCCTATTTCTTTTGTTTTTCGTCTAAGATATTATTTTTTTTCTTCTTATTCATCCCTGCTACGAAAGGGATTATAGAAACAAAATAGAGAAAAAAAAAGAAAAGAAAAAAGAAACGTTGTTGTACAAGTGAAAAAGGATCTTAAGGATTCTCGACTCCTCTTCTCTTGAGTTTTTATTTATTTTAATTATCTATTTATTTTTGCACTTTATCCCTACGCTGATGCTAAATTACTAATACATCGTACTTAAGTTTTACAATATTAATTGGGTTTCGTTCATATAAAAACACCCTTGCCCAACAGTCTCCTTGGTTGCACGTCACCGTGGCTAGCCGCTAACCCAAATCGTCACCCTTATACCCACCACAGTTCCGCAAATCACCACAGTTCCCGAGTCCCTAGCCATCGCACCTTCAATCCAGACCCCCAGATTTTGACTTCAATCCAGCCTTAGCATTCTCAAAATAAAGAAAAACATATATGCAATCCAACAAGAGAGAGCCCGCAAGAAGCAGAGAGAATAATTTTAGCTTCTGGGTATAATTGGGTTGTGGGGTGTGAGTGATTTAAGAGTTTTTTCTATAAACACCAGTGTGTTTTCCTTTCTCCTAGTAAAATATCTGCAGTAGTTCGGAAACATAGACATTTTTTGTTGAACTCCATTATCAATTGGTGTGTCCAATTATTTCGATTTTATTTCACTTTCATATATTTAACTTCATGGAAAAGTTCGTCGTTTTTCTTTAACAACTGGTATTAGAGCTGGTTGTTAGTTTTGAAATTTTTCGTGGTGCTATTATTCATATGAATACTAACGGTACTATTCATGAATTGTGAAATTACTATTTTGTGAATAGTAAAAGGAAATTGTCAGAAATGATCCAGAAAATTCAGATCCAAATTGGAGTGATGGCTGCAGGTGAAGGAAAAGTGAAAATTGATAAGTTCGATGGTGTGGACTTTGGCTTTTGGAAGATGCAGATCGAGGATTATCTGTATTAGAAGGATATGTATCAACCACTCACAAGAAAGATGTTGGATGATATGAAAGAGGAGGAATGGATTCTTCTCGACATAAAGGCTCTTGGAGCCATTTGGCTGACGTTATCCCATAATGTTGTTTTTAACATTGCAAAAGAAAAAATGACAACAGATCTCATGGATACTCTTTCCAACATGTACGAGAAACCATCAACCTCAAACAAAGTACATTTGATGAGGTGGTTGTTCAACCTACGGATGATTGAAGGCGCTTCAACGGCGCAACATATCAATGAAATCAACACTGTTACAACTTAGTTGAGTTCAGTTGGGATCGAGTTCGATGATGAAGTACGAGCTTTAATACTTTTGTCTTCTCTACCAGAAAGTTGGAATGTTACTGTCACAACTGTGAGTAGCTCATCGGAAAGCAATAAGTTAAAATTTGATGATGTTCATAATTTGGTTCTCAGTGAAGAGATCCGACGAAGGAATTCGGGTGAATCATCAACCTCTTTAGTATTGCATACAAAGTTAAGAGGAAGAAGTTTGACTAAAGAAAGCGGACGCGAAAAATCAAAGGGCAGACAATTGAAGTCCAGAAATCATTGTAGTTCCCAAAACTCGAAGAAGATCGAGTTTTGGAATTGTGGAAAAATTGGGCACTACAAAAATCAGTGCAAGAGTGCACAGAAGAATCAAGAAGCAAAGGACGAAACAAACATTGCCTCTACCTCAGGGAAAGATGATGTGTTGATATGTTCTCTAGAAAGCAAGGAAGAGTCTTGGGTGTTAGACTCTGGAGCATCTTTCCATGCTACCTCACAGAAGCAACAGTTCAAGAATTATGTTCCCGGAAACCTTGGTAAAGTTTACCTTGGTAATAAGCAATCATGTGAAATTGTAGGTAAAGGTGTTGTAAAGATTAAGTTGAACGGGTCTGTATGGGAATTGAAAAATGTCAAACATATTCCCAACCTAACAAAGAACTTAATCTTAGTGAGTCAATTAGCCAGTGAAGGCTACACGACAATCTTCCATGGTGATGATTGGAAGATCTCAAAGGGTGCGATGATAATTGTGCGAGGCAATACTTGGAAATTGACATGTATGAAGACTGCATACTTGGAAAGCAAAAGAGAATTATCTTTCAGACAGGAAAAAAAACCCCAAAGAAAGAAAAGCTTGAGCTTGTCCATTCTGATGTTTGGGGTCCAATGACAGTCTCATCCATTAGTGGGAAGCAATACTTTGTAACTTT